ATTACTTTTATACTGACCAAACGATATTTTCTTTCCCCTAACCCAACCCTAACCCTAAACCTACCCCTTACAGAAAACCTGTTTGTATTGTTACACTTTCAGATAAACATTTACTATTTTTAATATTTTTTTTCCCTCTCGTCGGGACCGCAGGCCAGTCCCCACAATGTCAAAAATATCAGGTTTTACTATCCTTGTGGGGACATTTGGTCCGCAATGTAGCATAAACAAGTATACACACACACACACACACACACACACATTACAATGTCATTGTGATATAGAAAAGAAAAAGAAATATGGGCACAAAGGCGAAAATACAAAATTAGAAAGTCCATTGTCAGAATTTGTACTGAGAAAAACTGTAATATACGAAGTATTGTTATAAGGGTTATTATAGTTAACTAAAACCAAAACAAATTTTCATTACTGGAAATAACATTAATTTAATCTGAAATATATTAAAATCAACTAGATGCCAAGGCAACATTTCTAATTTTCATTTCGTTTAATCTGATGTACCTACATAACTAAAACTGAATTAAAATTTATTAAAAGCTATGTAGACATATTTAAAAACACAAAAATGACAAAAGCACACACAAATAAAATTAAAATGAAAACTTTAAATAAAATTAAAATGAAAACAAAAATGATAGATCATAAAAACAAAAACTAATTCAAAATATTAATAAAAACTATAATAGTATCTCAATGATTCTAAAACAACACTGATTGTAATAATCCATTTCAAACATACTGGCCCCTAACTAAAAACCAAATGAACTGTGGTTGGTTGCATTACATGTCTAAATGGTCAAATCTTGGCCAAAATAAAGTGTAAAGTGGACCATACTTTAGTCAAAAGTCTGACTACACAAGATGAATGTTTTAGAAACTGCAATATGACAGCTTTCCCCTCTAACGGAGCACCACAGATGACATTAGTAGCTGGTATAAAGAAATTACTTTTACAGGCCCAAAGGAGCTCAATTCCATCTGTCCTCTTTAATGGTACTGGAGGCAGCCAAAGGATGACTCTATGCTGGTGCTTTCCAAAAGATAATCGACAAAATTAAATTTTGCTTGGACCCCCCAACCCCCCCCACAAAAAAACAACAACACTTGAAGAACAAAAGATATTAGTCAGAATGGATCGTTAATGCATAGCCAAGAAGGATTTAATGCCGCGAGTAATTATGTGGATGTGCCTATCTATTGTCCTGTTTTAATTTCATCGAAGCATATATATTCTTGTAAGAGGCTGTAATATATTTACTGGCAGGTTGCAGTGGTCATAAATCTAATGCTAAAACAAGATCTAGTTTCACTGAGCTGTCAGCAGACAGGCTTCCTTCAATTAATCAAGAGTATTGTTCACAGGCACTTCCAGTGCCACCAACCGTGAGCAAACACACAACAGGATACACGCGGCCATGAAAAGTGCATGTACACAGCTAGCACACACGGGCCCAACATCATCATCATCATCATCATAATAACTAACTTTACCACATTTAGAAGCAGTGAAACAAAAAACTCGGGTGTTTTCAAAATAGTGCAGCTTTAACAGTAACAAACAATACAAAAAAAATAAATCTTTAAAAATTACTTTTGTTTAATATGTTTTTCTTTTCAAAACCTTTATTAAACCTGTTCAAATTACAGGCATTATCACTGTTAAAAACAGCCGCAATAAATCCAAGCAGTATGCAGTGAAGGAGAAATTTTTTTTTATATAT